AATTGTTTAAATTGATCAAATATACAAAATTTTGACAAATGAAAAAATTGTCAAAATTTTACTTTTCGACCAGTGATATATATAACCCAGATTTGAACTAGTGATGTTATTCGGTAGAAAAACCTTAGCCGACTAACATCACTAATTTGAACTATTTAAACAAATTAATAAATAGTATTCCGTATACGTAAGTAAAGGGTATCCTACTAAGTATTATATTTTTTTTTGAATTCGTCAGTTCTTAACCAAATGTTCGAGTACCCGGCCAATCAAAAAAATTCAACGCCCGGCCAATCGGTGATTACTCGATTATTCATCGAATATCCACCGAGTGTTAGATTTGTATTATCTTTGGTTATCCCATAAAGTGTGAAATATAATTAGGCGTGGACCATGTATTGTTATGCCACAACTTACCACAATATCAGGTGTCTCGGATATCATAGTGCATTTTTAGATATGGATCCATCAATATTAATAATCTCAATCGGATACATTAAATTCCATGAATTTTTTTTTTTTTTTGAACATCCTTTTTTGCTCTTTCGATTGTACGGCAATGTTAAATTTCTTTTGGTTTACAGTCAAACCTTACCATAGCGGTAACGGATTTTTAAAATTTTTGCTTCATCATCACATAAAGATCCGTTGTGACAAGGTTAGTATTAGTATTAGTAATCTTGCCACAACGGATTTTAAATAAAATTTTCTTATGTGTCCCGTTCATCCGCTGTCACAAGGTTTGACCGTACTTGATATATTATACTGTCTGGTATCAGATAATCGATGAATGTTATTTGACGGACATAACCACTGTCAAGCAAGATGAGAAAAAAATTTTAAATGATCGGACTAAAATTTTTTTGAAAAATTCATATGTATCCTGTAAATTTGTGCAAATATAATTTTTTTCTTTTTTATTAATAAAACTTTTCGTCGCATTATTGCTTGGGTCAATAATAGAGTTGTTTTTTGCAATTTCCGTATATTAATTATATTAATATCCATAGCAATTGGCAATTTTTTTGATTGATGTGCACCATATTATTCGGTAATACGTATGTACTACTGTTGTATTAGGAATCTGTTATATATTAAAATATTGACCTTTTTAATTAATTAATAATTTTTTGAGATGATTGAGATTATTTGTAATGATAGATTAGGTAAAAAAGTTCGTGTAAAATGCAAGTACGTATATAATAATATTAATGACAATACTAATATTAACAATTAACCTTAAATTTTAACTTCGTAATTGTTGTTTCATTGATGTTAATGTTTGGTTTTAGTCCAGCAGACACAGTTGGTGAATTAAAGAAATTAATTTCAGCTCAAACTGGCACCGATCCTTCAAGAATTATTTTAAAAAAATGGTAAATTAATTTTATTTATTTATCATTGTTACTTTTAATAATTTATTGATAAATTATAAATTATATACTATTATTAATGATTGTTTAGGTATACAACTTTTAAAAATCATATCACATTGGAAGATTGTAATTAGTTTATCATTGTTATTAATGATTTATGTTGATATGTTTATATATAATAATATTAATAATAATTTATTTTTATTTTTTAGATGAAATTAATGATGGAATGAATCTTGAATTATATTATTCATAATTTTTTTTATTATTCATAAATTTATCATTAATTAATTATTTTTTTCTTTTCATTGTTTTATTAATTTTTTTAATGATCAATCAAATTTAAAATAAAGACAGTGTTCATCTATAAATTATTAATTATAATGGTAAAATTCTTGAAACCAAGCAGAGTTGCATCTGGTAAATATTCTGGATGATTTGATTGTAAAAAACCTTGATGAAGGTGCTATGGAACATTCTATAGTCATTATATAGCGTCTGGAATAGAAAAACATACATTAAAAATGACAAACCATATTGATTGCCAAACGTTTTAAAGATGAACCTTTCATAAAAACATCAATTATAGCATTTAATGCCAACCAGATATACCTTTGAATTGGAAGATATCAAACAGTTAGTTAACAATGAATGTTTCAAAGAACCAAGTCACTGATTATCAACTAAAAGCTTTAAAGAAAACTTTATAAACAAGATATAAATCAGGAAAATGTTTTTTACTAAATCGAGATTTTAAAATTTTTAATTTATTATCAAGTTCTCTTTTATATATATATATATATAATTGATCTTTTATTAATGTTAAAAATATTATTTGTTCTATTTATCATCAACATCATCAATGTTTAAATATAAATAGAATTATACATTAGAAATGTCATTATTAGAAGAATCAGGTTTCTTTAAAGTGATCTTTGAATAGTTTTGAGCTGTAATATTTTCTTGTTAAAAAAAAAATTTATTTATATATTAGATTTTAAAATTATTTATTATTATAATATTGTAAATTAGAAAAGAAAGTGAAAACAGTTTTACCAGGTTGAACAAAGTTAAATACATTCTGCCAATTACGAAGCACATTACCAATAACTAATAATAATGAATGTTATATGTGTTTATATAAAAAATACGTACACATGTAGTATGTATGTTGTAAATACCTTCACATCCTTCATTTAACTGTTGAATTTGTAAAGCCAATTGATCAAAATATTCTGCTAATTCTTCTGAAGTTTTCTTCATTTTTAATAAATTTTCATATCTTTTTGTTTTTCTTGAATTCTAATATTAAAAAGTATTTGTTTGGCAGTAGGAATATCTTGTTTTTGTCATTGTTGTAAATTTTTATTATCATTAGCATTAGTAGTTATTGGTACAGATACCTGTTGAGAAAGTTGTTGAAAAGTTTTAAATGAATTGTTTGACATTATAAAAAAATATTTTTAAATCTACGCGTTTTTACTACATAAAGCATTCACAATGGTTGATCATCAAAAAATAATAAACATCAATAATAATTATCAATGCACATATGGTAACAGTCAAGCTTGGTCTGAGAGAAAGATAAAGGAATGTTTTGTCCAACGCCTTCCAACATGTGGTGGACTTTACCCTTGGAAAAAAATTCCATGGTTATGAAGGGTATCTGCATGTTTGTGAAGGAAATTTTAATTAAATTCTGACACCTGTGATTAATATCGGATTTATTATTCATAAGGAACTACACAATGGGAACTATAATATTTTTTTGATCCTCCCCATTCATTTATTCATGTGAGTCCCAGAGATCTGTGTAAACATGCATTATTAAAAGTTTTATGCATGGCCTTGTTATGTCAAAGGCAATATCAAATGTATTGCATAATAATCATGAATATTTGATGGATGGAGGCATTCACATACAAGGAAATGATTAAATTTTTGTTTTATTAAAGGTATATAATTAATTATACAATGAAAAAATTGCAAGACCGCATCACTATTTCAATCAAGCTATCAAGCTGTCATGGTTTAAAATTCTTTTATGCTACATAGTTTAATGCCCCATCTTTCTTTGCTTGTATATAATCTATTGGTTCTCTTTTTACTATATAGTTGAATGATGCCAAATTTGGTAATGGTTTTGTTGCTGAAATGTTGATAATTGCCATACATATGGGGATTCTCTAGCAAAAGGTAGTTTAAGTGCCCTCTGACAAAAATTGAGATTTTTTGCATAATATATATTTATATTATAAGGATGAAAAAATCAGTCAGTTACTGTCTATTTAATAAAAAAAAATGAGATACAAGCAAGGCTTGAAAATTTTTAATTTATATATCAAAACACATGTAATGTATGTTTCAGAGATCATTACTCATATGAACTAAGCTACCTTTTGCTAAAGAATCTCTCACATGATTTTTTAAAATTTTCTGTTTATTTATTTTCTAACACTACTCAGTGTTGGTGTCAGTGTTGGTGAGTGGTAAACATTCTATGGAAGGAGAAGGGTGCTCCTCACACTAACACTGCCTTCCTCCTAGAAGGAGCATAAGCATATATTTTTATTTAAAATAAAAAATTGCTTTTTTTATTGGGATAAATTTTAATTAAATAATAAATTAATTCAATAACTGTATATTAATATGGTTTTTGTGGTAATAAATTTTTCTCTTTTGAAAATTTACATTATTAAAGTTTGTAAGTCAACCAACAATTAGACAAAATTGATTATCAAACATTCTAAGATCTCACAACTGGTAGGATCATGAAGACCACATTCAAAGAACCAATCAACACAATAAAAATAATAACAGCAAAGGCTATAATATGATCAGAACAGGTAATTAATTATTATCACTTTTCAATAAATAATAATCTTTTGTTAGAAAAAGATGAAATTTAAATTTAATATTATATTTAATAGTGATACTATATAATGGGAATATGAGGGATATGAATAGATCAATGGATAATAATAGTATTTATGCAATTTGTATTTAGCAATAATAATAACTACAATCATAATAATAATCATAATGATTGTAATATCATTATAACAGAATCAGCCCGACAAGACACTTTACCAACAGGACACTTTACTGACAAGTATTGTGTTAACAATTTGCCAAGGACTGTGTGAAGACCTGGATAACTAGCTAAAAATTTGGTTTTTTACAA